CTCTAGCCAGGTCCTTGCGGTGTCTTCCAGGTAGAAGTACACACGACGGAGCTTTTCTTCGTTGTCCCAGTGGTTGAGGGCGGCCACACGGTCGTATGTTTCTAGCCAGGTTTCCGGGTCTTCAAACGATGAGCCATGGAACGTTGGCGGTTCCCTGGGTTGATGAATGACGATCGCGGGCTGGGACGCTCCGGTTGTCATTGTCGCTGCAGTCGAGGTCATGGTCTTGGTCATCCGCGCCTTGCCTTGTAGAAGGCCGTACTCCGGTGGGAGGCCTTGCTGTCGGCGGCTCGTTCGCTGCTCTTGGTTGGCGTCGGTATCTTCTTCGCGACGGGGGCTGGGTTCACGGCTTGACGGGGGGGTCCGGTACATGAACGAAGCAGCACCTCCACCAAATGGCACGGGGTCGTGACGCAGCCGAAGACAGGAAACTTCGTGTTGGGATTTAACTGTTTATTTGGGCGAACCTGTGCCCGGTAAAGGGAAAGTCTAATTACAGCAGCAGTCTTGCGCAGATAGCAGTCTCGGACTGATAGCGGCGAACGCAGCGTCGGCCTTCGATCAACTACTGACAAGCGGCGAAGCGCGTCGGCATTTATACTCTTGTTGTCGAATGTTCTAACGTTATCGCTGGCGGTGGCGTAGCTTCCAGAACAATCTGTACCGTTCGCACAGTGGGCGTGATCTTATCGAAATGATCTACTACAGTCCGGAACCTTCTAGAAAACTGCAGGCGCGGTTTGCGCTGAGAATCGTGTGGTGTTTTGGGACGATAACAAAAGCTTGGGAAATGAAACGTGGCAATATGTAGACACCCTAGCAAATTTTACTATTTGTGCATCGTGACTTCATGTATTCCCATAACCAAATACCTATGTATAGCAGCAATAAGTACATTTCAATCACGTTGAAGATAAAAAGGCGTACGATATCGATCATTGGTGGTTACATTTCACTGAGCGGGAGATCTGATGCTGGACACCTGAAATTTGTTATCTAATTGAGTCAAGGACCTCACGTCATCGTAGGTGACTTCAATGTACATCACCGTACTTGGGGAAGCAGCGTTATAAATTCTCGGGGAAGACAACTTCTTGAATTCACAAGCAACAATGGCCTTCATATTCTTAACGACGGATCACCGACAAATCTCCGTGGCTTAACGTACAGCAGCTGTCTTGCCTTAGCTATTGCTTCTGGGTGCCTTTGAACATCCGCTGCCTGGTGTACAGACGTTGAAACATATGGTAGTGATCACCCTCCTACTTACGTACAACTTCTATGGTATGCCGCCGTTACAAGCATTCTAAGACAATATACAGACTGGGAGGCTTTTTAAGAAGAGCTAGAAACATCTTGTAGCTCAATAGTATCTCTGACAGAAATTGAAGAAAGAATTTCCACGACAGTACAGATCACTACACGTATTGTGACAACATCTGATTCCAGGAAGCCGGTTGATGGGATATACGAAGAACTGCGGGCAGTTCGTCATCGAGCAGAACGCAAACACAGGCGCACAAAATTGATTACAGACCTGAAGACCTCTGGTAACGTGCAAAAGAAAATTCAGAGGTACCTAAAAAGCTTGTCCACCGAATTTCGAAGTGAATTTGCACCACCCTGGACCCACGAGAACCACTGTCTAAGATATGACACGTCGTACGAGCTCTACCATCTTCACCTCAGCAACTATGTCCTTTTCGTGCATTGGCCATCATAAGGACATGCAGCGAGAAACAGATCGCGGAAGAATTCTGCAAGCACCTCTCTGGCTCTGCAACAACGGATGGCTTAGTGCTTTGGTGCACACGCTCTACGGCAGACGTCTGTCTGGACCATCCTTTCACGCTGCAAGAACTTGCGCGGCTATGTCCACTTTGCAACGTTCCAGTGCACCTGGGCCTGGTGGAATCACCTATGCTACCCTTCGTCACCTTGGCCCTCTGGCAGCTTAAGAACTGCTGTCTTTGTAGAACATTTCTTGGGAATCAGGAACTGTGCCGGTAGACTGGAAAACTAGCAAGATCGTGGCATTGCTGAAAGCAGGCAAGTCTCCCCGTATTATGTTATGCTACAGTCCTGTGGCGTTAGCAAGTTCTGTAGGAAAACTCACAGAACAAATGGTTGCGATGCACTTGGAATGGTTCTTACAGTAAAAAAGAGCATATCAAGACGCCATGACTGAATTTCGGAAGGCGAGGCCATCAATGGACAGTGTGATTGATTTGGTAACAACAACTGAACATCAGAAATCGCGTCACCGATTAACGGCCGAAGTATTTCTTGATATCAAAGGTGCCTTCGATAATATTCTGCAAGTATTTCTTGATATCAAAGGTGCCTTCGATAATATTCTGCATGACGCCATTCCAAATGCTCTTTAAGACTACGGCGTTGGTGGCCGCTTGCATCAATAAATAGCTAGTTATCTTCAAGAATGAACGATATTCATGTCTACTGCCGACGGTGACACAAATAAGCATCCCGTTTATCGTAGAGTGCCTCAAGGTGGATTCCTGAGCCCAACAATATTTAATATCATACTTGTTGGCCTCGTTGGGAAGCTCGTTAGACTAAGAGGCGAAATTTCGGTATCTGTGTACACAGATGACAATTCCATGTGGACCAGGAGACTAACACATTCGCAAGTACAAAAGAAACTACAACGTAAGGTATCGACAACGTCTGCATACCTCAGTACCTGTGGACTGCAACTGTCACTGACGAAAAGTACAACCGTGCCATTCACGAGAATATCCATGGCTTGCTAGCGCATAGTGATTGATGGGAATAGAATACCTTTGGTAACTCATCACAAGTTCCTCGGACTTATTAGGGATCGTAATTTGTCTTGGTCGAAACACATCTCATCGCTAAGAAAAAACTAGACAGCTTTGCCGAGGTCATTCGCCATATGTCTGGAAAATTATGGAGGCCATCAAAATGATGTCAACTGCAGCCATACCAAGCACTTTTTGTTGGATACCTTCGTTACAGTGCTCCTGTTCTCTCCCGTGCTTGTACATCAGCAGTACGTACACTCGAGGGAACTCCGGCGCGTGGCCTAAGATTTGCCTAGGAGTACCTCGATATACTTCTACATGGGGCACTATTGCAGAACCACGTGCTTGTGCAGCTCGATCTTCAACACGAACCACTACGAGTACAGTTGAGGCTACTGACAAGGCATCGAGGCCATCCACTGCCGGATACCTTTAACACACGGCCCAATGCTGCATACTTAGAAGCTGTTATGTCGCACTGAGATCTGCTGCCTTCAAATTATGCACCGCATGTGATCTCCGACATACCGCTCTGGATAATGCCTAAGCCGATTGTGCGACTTTTGATTCCAGGGATAACAAAAAAGTAAAAAAATGTACCAACTGCTCGTCTTAAACATTTCGCCTTGTCGTATATTGCCTATATGTACGGATATACAGTGCACAATTTTGCAGATAGCTCTGTCACGCAGACCTCCTTAGCAGCAGCTTTCACTGTGCCTCAAACGGGAATCACTCAACGCTCCAAAAAAGTACACCGGAGATCATCTACTGCCGCTGAGCTGACTGGCGTCTGACAAGCTGCGTGCTACATTTTGCAGCAGAGTCCAGCGAAATGGACATTATTTTGTAAATCCAAGCTGGCATTTCAGCTAATTAGAAACTACATGAAACAAGACACTGCATACAGTCCTCTGGTGCGCGACATAGTGAATATGTTGAGTGATGCATTTCAATCCGGACATACCATTGCGTTGCAGGGGATTCCCAGTCAATGGGGCATAGGTGGGAATGAACAAGCTGATGCAGAATCGAAAATGGCACACACTAGCGGCGAAATGATATCAATTCACTCTTCCCTATATGAAATCAACGCCTTGCTGTCTAAAGGTATGAATACATCTCTGCAACGACTATGAAACGATTCGGATTACCGCCACGAGCATACTTATAGGCATGACAATATTTATAGCGCGAGAACAAAACGACGACACAGAGACAAGAAGGACACGAAGGACACGAGCGCTAACTTCCAACTGAGTTTATTGCGCAGAGCACAAAAACTATATAGAGGAGACAGTAACCATGTGACGAAAACGCTCATGTTTTTTGTGTCCTTCTTGTCTCTGTGTCGTCGTTTTGTTCTCGTGCTATGACTATCGTCATGCCATACCAACTAGCCCAAGCTGCCACACTTATAGGCTTGACTTTTTGTGCTTTTCGCCTTCTGTTCCGACTGAAGAGAGACCAGGAAATGCTACTACATAGACTGCGGCTGGTTTTTGCATACACGGGACGATACTTATGCAAGATGGGAATAAAGTAAAATACTAGCTGCAACTTGTCTAACACCCCAGAGACTAACACTCACATCCTGTGTGTGTGTCCTTTGTACGCAGTTGAAAGACAATCTTTTCAGCGCCTCACAGATCACCTAGACTGCAGACCCTTTTCAGAAGAGAAACTTTTGGTTGCTTGGGAACGTGTGGATTATGCCCAACGCAGCTAAAGGGCCTGCTCACATTTCCAAGCAAGACAGCTCTATATTTCCGTCTTTAGAGCATCGGGTAATGTAGAGACTGATGTGCGTGTCCTACACCAAACGAGACATTGTGTGCAGGGCCTCATCATGCTATATCATAATCACCTCTCATCATGCCCCCCTCTTTCTCTCCTTTTTCCTCGTACCCCCGTCAGGAGAAGCCGGCTAGAAACCCACTTTCTAGGCCAACCTCTCCTCCTTCTCATTAACCAAATACTTTTTCTTCTTCATGGTATTTAGGTATGTTCCTTTTTGTCTTTTATTTTTTAGTGAGTGCGGGAGGTTTTGTGGCCTGACTTCATTATTTATGTGGTGCGCTGAACATGTGGTATGAACTGCTGAAATTCATTTTTTGTTTCCTTCTTGTTTTCCGACGTTAGAGCAAAGTAGAATACGGTGCCTCTACAACCTCTCATGACATTTATTTAAACAAAAAGGAAGTATATACTTACTTTTCATATAGGCGTGGCACCTCCAGTTTTCAAATAGCCGATATCCGATGTCGGCCGTGGTGGCGAACAATATAATCACGAGGAAAAAGCCAATTATTGCTCTGTGAAAAAAAGAAAGCAGCACTGAAGCTGTGTAGACTGAGTGAACGCTTTCCGCAAATGAACGTTGACATCTCTCTTCAAGCAAATGCACATGATTGCTAAGTGTGGCAGGAATATGCGGTGGTAGTAGGTTTTCTTTTTGTTTTTTTTAAAGCAATTGCCTGCACAAGAGATCAGGACTTAGGGAGTGATTACGCAATGTACCTTCCTGTTTGACATTTATTTGGGATGCATCGTTGGTATTCAGCAAAGTAATTGACATAGGATTTTGTCAAGTCCTCTCAACAGTGGTTGTACGAATGAAAACGAGAAGACCGTTTTGATAACCCTGATTCTTATACTCTATTTTCTTGAACATGTCATATTTGACATTGGTTACTGACACAGACTGTACAAACACATTTCCATGAGCAACGAGTGATTTTGTTGCTTGCAGAACAGTGGGATACCTTGCTTTTAGTCGGATACCCTCATGAATACCTTAAAACGTAAGAAATAGCTTCGCAATAAGCAAAAACAAAATGAGTTGCAGCGGTGACGACCAATTGCGTAGCCAATTATGTATTTAACGAGAAAATGCATAGTTGATACGTTGCTTTGTAATACTGTTTCCAGTTTCCAGATCCAAAGCAAACCAAACTGTAGTCCCAGTGGCGGTACCTAATAGGCACGTCGTTGGTGATTAAGTGACCCTTATCAAGTGTAACCTGAGTTTCGCAACGTTTAACGCTAGAAATTTATCTAGTGAGGCACGTCTAGCAGTACTATTCGAGGAGCTAGAGGGTGTTAAATAAAATGGTATAGGGCTCAGTGATGTTAGGACATTTAAGGCCTATACAATGCTACAGAATGGGCACGTCCTGCGCTATCGTGGCTGGCCTGACAGAAGAGAACTGGGAGTGGGATTCCTTGTGCACAGAAAGATAGATGGCCACATAGAAGAATACTGTAGTATCAATGAAATCGTGGTAGGTCTTGTAATTAAACTCAATAAGAGATACAAGATGAACGTGGTACAGGCTTACGTGCCTACATGCAGCCATGATGACGCGTCAGTTGAAGGCTTCTATGAAGACGTGCAATCGGCAGTGGGTAAGGCAAAACACAGTATACAATACTGATGGGAGACTTCAATGCCAAGGTAGGACAGAAGCAGGCTGGAGATTAGGCAGTAGGAGATTACAGTGTAGGTACTACAAATGCCATAGAGGAGCTGTTAGTAGAATTCGCAGAACGCAATAATTTACGGATTTTGAATACCTTCTACCAACAATGAGCGAAAATAAGAACGAAATAGACTTTATACTCAGTGCACACCAAGGCCCCATGCACGATGTGGAAGTGCTTGGCAAGGTACGATGCAGTGGCCATAAAATGGTACCGTCTCAAATTCACCTATACTTGAAGGAGGAACGACAGAAACTGATACGCTAGAAACCAATCAATGAGCTAGCACAGTAAGGAAAACTACAGGAATTCAAAGTCGCGCTTGAGAACAGGCACTCGGCTCTTATCGAGAATACCAGCCTTAGCGTAGACGCAATGTATGATAATCTGACGAGTATAATTACGGAATGTGCAGCGGAAATTGGAAGTGCGGTAGTTAGACAGGACATTCGCAAGCTGTCTCAGGAAACAATTCAACCTCATTAGGAGGCGTAAAAACATAAAAGTATCAAGTACAACAGACAAAATAGAGTTGGCAGAACTTTCGAAGTTCATTAATAAGTGTAACGTATCCGATGTAAGAAGCTATAACATGGAGAGAATCGAACACGCTCTGAAGAACGGAGGTAGCGTCAAAGCAGTGAAGAGGAAACTTGGGATAGGCAAACATCAGATGTTTGCGCTACGGGACAAGGAGGGCAAAATAACTACGAATATGCATAGTATAGTTAAAATGGCGGAGGAAGTTTACAGAGATCTCTATAGTAGGTGAGACAACCACGCCCTTCAGTCAAAAAACCTCGGAGAGCATGCAAAGAGGTAAAGCTGCTGGTGAGGACCAGGTATCAGATCTGCTGAAAGATGAAGGGCAGATTGTGTTAGAAAAACTAGCCACCCTTTTTATAAGCTATCTCCTGACGGGAAGAGCACCAGGATCTTGGAAGAATGCTAACATCTTTTTATTACATAAGAAAGGAGATGAAAAGGACTTGTAGAATTACAGGTCCATCTGCTTGATGTCCGTGGTATACAAGCTATTTACAAAGGTCATCGCTAACAGAACTAAGGCAACATTAGAATTCTATCAACCTAAGGTACAAGCAAGATTTCAAACAGGCTACTCAACAAACAACTTCAATCACAATATCAATCGGGTAATAGAGAAATGACCAGAATAAAGTCAACTACTATACATAGCCTTTCTAGATTACGAGGAGGCGTTTGACTCAGTACAATTATAAAAAGACATGCAAACACTGATGGATCAGAACGTCGACGAAGCATAAATAAACATCCAGGAAGAAATCTAGAGGAGATTAACTGCTACCATAGTGCTTCATAAACATGCAACAAAATACCAAGCAAAAAGAGTGTAAGGCAGGGGGATAATACTCTCCTATGCTATTTACCACATGCTTAGAGGAGGTTTTCAGAAGCCCAGAATGGGAAGAGTTAGAAATAAGAGTAAATGCAGAGTACCTTAATATTCTGCGCTTCGCTGTTTACATTGCATTGTGGAGTAACTCAGGGGACGAATTGCAACTCATGATTACGATGTTAGACAAAGAGAGCAGAAAGGTAGGTCTTAAAATTATTCTACAGAAAATGAAAGTAATGTACAGCAACATCGGAAGGGAACAGCTCTTCGAGAAACGTATAGTGCACTGGAAGCTGTAAAAGACTATGTCTACTTGGGACAGGCAATAACTGCGGAGCCGAATCACGAGATTGGAGTAACTAAATAAATAAGAATGGCGTAGAGCACATTTGGCAAGCACTCTCAAATCATGACAGGTAGGTTGCCACTATCCCTCAAGATGAAGGTGTACAACAGCTGCATCTTGCTGGTACTTAGCTATAGAGCAGAAACCTCGATACTTTCAAAGATTGTTGAGCTTAAATTGAGGACGACGCAGTGAGCAATGGAAGAATATTGAAGTTGAAGTTGAAGTTCAATTCTGGCAGAAGCAAAAAAAAAGAAGAAAGGTACAATTTGCCTAGGGGACCGGTGAAAAAGCATAAAAGCCTGACAAAGCGACTGCCCCCTGCAAACACAAAACCCACCAAAATAACACAGTGCTTAGTGTAAAGTAAAGAGTCAATAAGAAATTAAGCATAAATAAGTTTCTACATGCAAAACATGTACAGGAAAACATAAATGAGCGAAAATTTGCACAGGCAATGAATTCAAATTAAGCATATGCGTGTCCGACAAATATGGTAGGTGTAACCTTAAGAGATAAGAAGAGAGCGGAGTGGATCAGGGAACAAACCCGGGTTAAGAATATCATAGTTGAAATCAAGAAGAAGAAATGGACATGGGCTGGGCACGTAGCACGTAGACAAGATAACCGCTGCTCATTAAGGGTAACAACCTGGATTCCCAGAGAATGCAAGTGGTTTAGGGGGAGACAGAAAGTTAGATGGGCAGATGAGATTAAGAAGTTCGTGGGTATAAAACGGCAGCAGCAAGCACAGGAGCAAGTTGACTGGCGGAACATGAGAGAAGCCTTTGTCCTCCAGTGGACGTAGTCAGGCTGCTGCTGACGATGATCAAGTGAATATAGCTTCAGCTTCCTACAGGGCATTTTCGTAAAGAATGCAATCAAAAACACTTGCAAAAATATCAAAAGACAGCAGAACGTATCCGCTTACATTGCAGCTACCTGGTCTTTGTTCATCTTGCGGTGGTCCTCCCGAACTTGGCAGTTCAGCACAGTTGCGTTTAGGTGAAGATACTTCTTAACTGCGCAAAATGGGCATATTTTTCAATCGAGAGTACAGGGGGAACTATCTATGGGTTTCTGAATGATCAGAATGACACAGTGCTGATATTTAAATTCATCGCGAGAGAAATGAAGGTCTGCAAGCACGGCAAGGCAAGATAAATGCCAGTTCTCTAAAACGTACTATTTGTTGAGCACATGGTAAGTTCTAATAGCCCTTCTTATAAACTAATCGCTAAAAGTGTAATAAACGCCTAAAAATTTCTCAGTGCGAGTCCATCATATAGGAAGTCGGAAAATATTAAAGGCATGTAAAACACTGCGGGTGTTATTTGTCGTTTGAAATGCGAAGCTTGGCTTAGCGAAATGCAGACACTTTGAGCGTTTCGATCTATCTAGCCCCGCCACGGTGGCCTAGTGGCTAAGATACTCGGCTTCTGACCCGCAGGTCGCGGGTTTTAATTCCGGCTTCGGTGGCTTCATTTCCGATAGAGGCGGAAATGTTGTAGGTCCGTGTGCTCAGATTTGGGTTCACGTTAAAGAACCCCAGGTGGTCAAAATTTCCGGAGCCCTCCACTACGGCGTCTCTCATAATCATATGGTGGTTTTGGGACGTTAAACCCCACTTATCAAATCAAAGCAATAGGCAACTGATTTCACTCGGCTACCTCTATTACTGCATTTTATGATTCTTGGCTGAAGATAGCTAGGACACCCGGTAAAATTGTGAACACCTGTCACTGAGGTTCATCACAAGGTAACGTCCCGCAATACCTGTACTAACGTATATCAAGCTGCGCGCGCAGGCAGCATGAGAGTGGCATGCAAATGATGCCGCACAAAATACGTACGCCAAGATTTCCATGTGAACACTCATTTTTGTGTTCGCTTATAGTTGCGTGATGCAATACCAATACAAAACTACTCAACGCAATAATTTAAAAAAATCCAAGACACACTTTGAAAGGATGAGGACTAGCCCTAATCCAGGTACTTTGTAAGTGTGCCGTGTATATATATTTTCTTGCGCTGAGCAGTTTATTATAATGCCAAGTAGCCCAATACCCTCTTTTTATGCAATACTTAATTGGGCATACGGCAAGTTGAAGAAACAGCCACGACCAAACGATCAGCGTAGCCTTGCCATACATGATACGCTTGTCAGATTTTCATGACACAGGCCTTTCCAAACATGGCATGCGTGTCCTTATTTTCATGCTATCACCTGTCATTCATATTCTTGATGCAAAAATCTCTCGCCTTATCACTTTACACATATACCCATTTAATTGAATGGCCTCGAGATCACATGTTATGTAATTCACGTCGTACGTGGCATGAATGTTAAACCTCTCTCAGTGAACCTTGAAACATAATTTTTGCAATTTCCACTTAAGGACGTGTCACTAATGTTCGACAGACCGTTTAGAATAATTAATGTGTGCGATTCAATGTCCCAAAATCACCATATGATTATGAAAGGCACCATAGTGGACTGACTCGCTCTGTGGATTTCATGTGGACCGGTTGTGCCCCCGCGATCTCTGACGAGAGCGCAGCTCTGGTCGACTGGGCTCGCCCTGCGCCATCTCCTGACACCGACAAGAGCTCTAGATGAGTGGTACCCGTGCTCGGACTCCTGCGACCGTGTCCATCTTTCCTATTTTCTCCTTACTTCCATAGTTTTCTGTCGTTCGCTGTCCCTGCACCTCGCTCTCTCCTTCCTGTCCCTATCTCTTTAGCTTTTAATCCTATCTTTTTAATCCTTCCTCACCCCATCTCTTGTGAAGGTGTCGCACTCTGATGCAGACAGTTACGGGGCTCACTTTTGCCTTCTTTTTTCTTTAGGAATCACTAATAAACAGGGCTCCGGAAATTTCGATCATCTGGGGTTCTTTAACGTGCTCCCAAGTCTGAGCACGCTGGCCTACAGCGTTTTCGCCTCCTTTGAAAACGGCACACTGTTTTCACGTCTTACGAATTTAGATATTTATATATACGAAGTCAACTAAAACACAGCAAAAGCACCAAGATCACGACATTGGCGTTTATGACATGATTATTCTTTTTATGACCAGTCATATATGTTCGTCATGTGAACGTGATATCCCACACCAATTTTGGAATACATCTCATCAATGAAGCGGCCTTGTGAGCTTGATATCGTAGACAGCTGGGGGATAGATAGATAGATAGATAGATAGATAGATAGATAGATAGATAGATAGATAGATAGATAGATAGATAGATAGATAGATAGATAGATAGATAGATAGATAGATAGATAGATAGATAGATAGATAGATAGATAGATAGATAGATAGATAGATAGATAGATAGATAGATAGATCAAAAATTGCAGAAGTTGGATAAGTGCTCCGCATTTAAAGCACATACACAGGCCCCCTATATTTTTTTAATGGGCCAACATGGTTCTGTGTAAAGTCGCCTTCTTTTTCTTACTATTTATTAATGATAACTCCTTTGTGTCTCTAGTAATGTTTATATATTTGCAGGCGATTGCGTTGTTTAGCGTACTATATTTAATGCAAATGACAAAAGTTTGCTGCAAACTGACCAAAACAACATTCAAAAGAGGTGTAATGACCAGCCAATGCTACTAAGCCCTTCTAAACACAAAGTTCTGTCATTAACCCGCTGGCGCAATCCACTTTACTTCCAGTTTGTTTAACTGTTGTTAACATTTAAATTAACACTTAATAATGTTTATTTATTTTTTTGCAAAACCACCTCTTATGTAATACACCAGTTTGAGGCCTTTAAGGATTATTGAATGAATCTGTCGGCTTGACACGTCTGTGTGGAAAGGCAAACTCTATTGAGAGAACAGGAGATAGTGGTGGCGGAATGAGGAGGGAGGCAGAGCACTGAGAGCAGGGCCCCTTCATCTGCCACTGGAATGCGGCACGCTTCCAGACAGTGGGTGACGGGATCAAAACATGGTGATCAAAACTATACGACGGGATCAAAACATGATGATAGGTATAGCGCGAGAACAGAACGACGACAAAGTGACAAGGAGGAGACGATGTTCCTTTGTTGTCGTTCTGTTCTCGCGCTATAACTATCATTATGTCATACCAACTAGCCCAAACTGCCGCACTTAATTCTAAGTGATCAAAACACTCGATGCCCAGGCATTCTCCGCAGGACAGCAGCCGAATACACCTAAAATTTGTCATTCATATGTTTGGTGCTGTCCTAATTCACAGTTCACAGTATGTTTGTACCACGACGCATCTACTAAACGCTGTGCAATCTTCCTTGCCCTGATAGAGTTTAACTGCGTTATTGGCGCCAACACGGCCCACATTACTGATGCCATCCATGGTGTCAAACTACGCATGGTTGGTACCATTGGCACCACGCTCGCCAGCTGAAGCAAAATTAAATCAAATGTGGAGAATTTGACCTTTAAAAGTGACCTGGCTCTAAGCTTGCTGCGCCTCCTCCGCTTTTCAGGTGGAAGTGCTACAAACGGCTACTCTAGGTGCAGCTAAAGGACTTTTGCTCTACCACGGGGTGACAGTGCTCCTACTCGTGTTCGACTACTAAAACACGTCCTCTCTGAAGAGAGCACTTTCAGCATCATTTTGCGTGTTCCTGTTTTCTCAATGAAATTTGCCATAACGTAATGATAGAGATAAAAAGAAATCAGCGCAAAATGTGAATAATAAAAAGAAGACGAGAATCATTGAACGGTAGTGAAAAATAAAGGGAATTATACAAAACTATACGCAAAGCTTCCTTAAGAATGCAATAGGAAAGAATCTGTACATTGCGAACAACTATCTTAATACAGTGCAAAGTTGAAAAAAAAACAATGACAGTGGACTGTGAAAAACATCAAGATCATGAATGTTTAAAATATATAAACCTTGTATTCTGTGAGCAGTGGATTGTCAAAAGAAAATGTCAGGTACAACAAATAGTCGATTCTCTATGGCTAGCATACGCGGAATCCGAAAATGTACACAAAAGAGAAGCAAAGGGCAAGATATCACACCGTGAACTAGTTTTTGAAGAAAAAGGAGGTCAGCACCATCTCGTCGGCAATAATAATAATAATAATAATAATAATAATAATAGTAATAATAATAATAATAATAATAATAATAATGGGACTCGCGGGTGTGCATTGGGATGTGAAAGAGACAGTGGTGCAGCATTTGAGATTAATTTGCATCGCTAGAGGTATATCCCTGCTCGCACTATGTATAGGCGGCCTTCCTTCCGCATTGCACTCTCCCTGAAACGTGGCTGCCATACTTCGATACCGAGCTGCAGCAGAGCGATACAGCAGCCCGTTAACCTGTACCTTGAGGTCGCTCAAGACGTCCTGTACATCGCCCATTTGCACATGAAGACAGAGAATGCGCTCGTCCGAGCCAGCATGCGAGGTGAGTCATATTACTCCTGGCATACTTACTTGGATTGATCAGCTTTTGTACATCTTCTGCTGTGCAGTGACTAGGGAGGCAGAGGCCTAAGCGGATGAAGGTATGGTAGAGGGTGTAGGACTTGCGGGCCAGGTACCTGAGAACCTGTTTCGAGGAAACATGACCAAAACTTACGTGAACTTATAACGCTGCACACCCACGGGCAAGTTAACTAAGACCAGATAAAATACCAAAATCAGTGTTTACAGTGATGAAGCAATAAATGATATAACATCATATTTGACTGTTCTTCGAAGTAAGGCCTGCAGCTGTTGGATTATATGTCATGTAACTCTACAAAATTCTGGTGGAAGAGATACTCCAGGGACAGACGCAGTTTTCGTGCAATCTGCCGCCTAAATACGAAGTAAGAGGTGAAAGCACAATGCGTAGTATAACGCTGTCCTACTCAAGCCTGTCGAGATAGTGTGCACGTCATTACTGGCGACCGCACCATTGCGAAAAAAGTTCGCAGTCTGCATGAGTGAAGCACACCCTCCTTGCATTTCGGCGCGCCGAAGGACGTGCTGATAGGACGTGCAGGGAATGTGCTGAAAGAGTCATGCCGAACCGACTGGTTATTCATACTGCCCTCCAAGAGATGTGGTCCAATTGACTTGATGGAAGAAGGTCATCTCACAGGGACGGTAAAGTAAGGGGCCTTTTTATTCGTTTATATACATCACGTGCAACGCTGTGGAATCTATGCAGAAAGTTTGGCCAGCCGAACGTGAAACTCTGCCCTTGTTGTGGTCGCGTGCGTGTCATCTGATTAGTGCCGGTTCACTCTCGCGTTTCCTTGTGCTCCCCCTTGGCGTGATCAGCGATCAGAAGTAAGCGAGGAAAGCAAAAAAGAACGCGGGGACCGAACGACTCGTCCAGGAGGCCGCCATTGCGACATACCCAGAGCAGAGAGCCTGTATGTGAAGTCACGTGTAAGTAAGCTATCCAGCCGCAAATTAACAGACGTTCAACCCTTTTTATTTTGAAATATTTTTTGTTGTGAACGCATCGGCGGCTTCCACAGCTTTGCACATGATGTATGAAACAGCGTCTAGGGGAATTACCCTTTCACGGCACCGAACATACAGCGCATACCACCTGCAGCCATTTGCTTCAAAGAGCGCAAGATGGGAGAATAAGTGGCGGCGCCACTTGGCCCCACTACACAGAAAAGGGCGCACACTACCATCTGCTTATTCTCAATTCAAAAATCCAATATATTGCATGCATATCACTGCGCTATCTCAATATACGCCCAAAAAGAATATTCTTTTCATATCAACAACGCAGGCAATGTAGATATAATATAGGTCAATATGGGGGTTTTACATACCAAAACCACGATACAAGATTGAGGGACGCTGTAGTGGAAAACTCCAGAAATTTAGGCTCTCTAGTGTTCTTTAGCGTTCACTGACACCGCCCGCACACGGGTCCCTAACATTTCGCCTCCATTGAAATACCACAGGGATTGGCCCCGTGATCTTCGGGTCAGCACCTGAGTACTGTAAACGCTACACCACAGTGACAGACTTGCCCCGCCGCGGTGGTCTAGTGGCTAAGGTACTCGGCTGCTGACCCGCAGGGCGCGGGTTCGAATCCCGGCTGCGGCGGCTGCATTTCCGATGGAGGCGGAAATGTTGTAGGCCCGTGTGCTCAGATTTGGGTGCACGTTAAAGAACCCCAGGTGGTCTAAATTTCCGGAGCCCTCCACTACGGCGTCTCTCATAATCATATAGTGGTTTTGGGACGTTAAACCCCACATATCGATCAAACAGTGACAGACTTGCAGATAATTACCATTTAGCCAACTGAATAGTCTACAAAGACGTTTGCACATGAACTCGTTATGATGATATATATTTTGTCGACAGCTGGTGAGGCCTGCGTAATTATTTATCAATAAAAATTGCATTGCTTGTGAATAGAGACGAGAACATAAATTTTGTTTAGCCATTATGATCATATGCGCCAAACAAAATCACAGTTACACCGCAAGGACGAAGCAATGAGTGTGATAGCAGCAAATTGTAATATAGTACAAATTAAGGTTGACTCTTTTCGATCCACCAGTATACAGCGAGCGATTAGACACTTTTGCGATTGCCTTTGCTAGCTTTCACCCGTCGGCCTGTCGTGCGGAGTCACCGGTCTCTTCTTCCTTTGCGAACGTCATGGCTGCTGTAAAACGGAACAATAGGGCTGTGCTCCTCAAGGCTGACGATAATAAAAACAGTCAAACGCAGAGGATAGAAGCCTCATGTTGCCAGCATCCCAAAAAGCATGTCAAGCGTAGCCAATATAATCAAGCAATATAATCAATGCAGATCAAGGTTGAGGAACAAGGTAACGCATTTCGTCTTCACGCGCCTGCATATTTGTAAGTTCTAAAATGGTAATTGCCCTTGACGAACCAATATTGATGGGCGCTTTCTGTACTCACGCTGGTTTCAGGAAATCCAATGGGGTTCACAATGACGGCGCCGTGTCGAATGACTTCTGGCTTTTCAGGAAGCGGGAACCGGACTGCCACCCCACAGTACTGTCCTCGGAAGTCCTCCAACTGCTTATCGAAGCGATTGGGGAAACTCAGGCCCAGGCAGGTGTCGTAGTCACCTAGGTCTGTCACCGTGCCCTCCAAAATGCCAGCGGGGAGCTTGCTCGACGAGTCCAGCACTGCATTCCATGAAACATGCCGTTGATAAACGTCCACACTAAGGGCGAGCTGGCAGTGTCAGCACCTCATCGCCGAAACACCCTACAATGCAACAGTATATTAGCACACACGCTGCTTTTTTGCTAAGTTTTATGTTGCCAGCCTACTGCGCCCGCAGATACTGCCTTGCGCAAACCACGTCTGAATTCCGGGAGGCATTCCAGGCTATTTTAGGATCATCGTTTCGATTTAGGCGCCCAAACGTGATCAGCTGAGTACGCTTTAGAAGAAACGCGACCGCCGGGGATAAAGCCTGAATGTTTGGCGCCGCATGCATAAATGCCGAGGCAACTTGCCACGGTTAAGATCTTATCTCGACAATGAACCATTGCATGCAACAGCTTGCGCGCCTTTTAAGTTTGAATTCGCGGCTACTGTTCAAAAGAAATCATATGTATAAAAAAGCAGAGCAATCGCTAGTTCATGGCGTTTGTAAAGCTTGCACAATAAATTAATCTGAAATGTGTCGACGTTGTTCATGTTCTGATTCACTAATATTTAGATAGCGTGAATCGAACTGTTTTCGCAATTTGGAGTATGCCTTTCTGCTAGGTTCACGCTACACCAAAGATGTGGTCTTAGAACGTAAAAATTGTGTGTGAAGTGATACCTGGGGTTTATTGTCCAAGAACCATGATTTGATTATGAAGGGTGCCGTCTTTCAGGCCAACGCAAATCTTGACGCGCACCAGGAAGATGTGACGGGGCAACCAGTTAGTTTATGTGCACATTGACACTGCTACTGTCCAGTATATTTCATTTGTGATTAGTATTTTTGTTTTTACTCAAAGTGTCAGTATCGTATTTGATAAAGTGCCAATTTAAGCTTTTATATGATACCTACGCACGACAATTGCTTCATTTGCTTTGTGTACACGCGTCTTCCTCGCTTAGAACACGCACAAAAATTGACCTCCAAGGCCACCTTCTTGGTGCAGCGTAAACTGAACAGGAAGGCGCACTCCTAATTGCGAGAGCAGTTCAATTCACGTTGTCTGAAACTTAATGAATCAGAACCTGAACAACGCCACCGCATTTCAGATTTATCTATTGTGCAACCTTTACACGCGTCTTGAACGTGCGTTTTCTCTGCTTTTTATACGTGTGTGTTATTTTGAGCACCAGCCATGAATTCAAGCTCGAAAGGTGCGCAAGATGTCGCACGCAATGGTTCATTGCCGAGCTAAGCATACGACAATAAACGTCATTGGCGAGCGCAATAGTGTAGCCACGAGCAAAACGTGGCGACAACGAGATGCCCGGTGAGTGTATTGACCCGCTTGTCAGGTAGACTGGAAACGAAAATTTACTAGTGAAATCAACGTGCACTCTATGTATCGTTAACCACAGGCAGCATATCATTTCTGACGCTTCGCAGCGCTGACCTCAGTCCAAGCGAGCCGAGGCCATGCGTTGGAGCGTTCGAGTTAAAGGTGCTGACGGCTGCACAGCCCGTATTGCTCGTAGAGTGAAATTTAGTTTTCGGTAACTGTTCGCCCAAGTGACAAAAATCCACGCAACTCCACTGAAGCAATCATGAAGAGTTAGCGAAGCACCTGCAGATTATTCGATGTAACCTTGTTCATTCGCGAACCTTTTTGAGTAACAGCACGAGTGCACAGTATATGGAGTCATTCAAGTACTGGAGTCCGTGTTTTCTACGCTACTACTGCTTTGTGGTCCGTGAATGAAGTGCCAATCGAGTAGATCTAATCTAATGTTGGATACTGCCGGGCTAGAGGAGCGGCACGCGCACACTTTCTCACAGCCTGCACTTCGTGTCCAGTTCCCACCTTTCACCGCCGCTAGCTCATGGCACTGGGGTCGAACCCTTGCAAAACCTTGCTAAAACCGAGGAGGTTACGCTTAGAAGATTTAGCATGGCAATTTTTTCTGGTCAGGTAGAGCTCAAAGCGCGTCCTTCTGTTGCTGGTTTTATTGCGATAGCAATTGTATGGACACTAGCGGCTGTATTTCGTCATCGGCGTTGTCGTGGGCGTGGGAATTGATGTCATGCATCGTATATGTATACGTATATGTATACATTAAAACGCAAGAAAGAAAAAAAATACAGAAAAAAATGACCCCATATCTGCATGCTTCGCTGCAAATGTCGTTGAAAGACGATAGTCTTGCGTGTGGAGAGAGCGAAGAAAACGTTTATTGGATATTCTGCGCGAGAAAATTGGTGAGTTGTATTCTAGAAGCGTAGAGAGTCTCGACCTGCGCAGCGAAGGCGAACGAGCGCATGCAGGCACGTTAGACACGAGCGCTATCTGGCAGTTATCTTCGAAAACGAAGGAAGGCGTGCGCGCTCACGAAGGAAGATGCGCGCCTGTCTTGGAGGCGGTAAGGTGTAGAACTTAAAGCGACGGGCAGGTGCCACCACCGTATCGTCTTAGCAAAGCGTTGGAAACACTTGCCTTTTTGAGCATCGCGTTGCAGTGTCAGCGCAACCTGAGCAACGCTACGGTCCTTAGAATTACTTATGTGTGCCTTCTCTAGTATAAAAACACATACAAATATCGGCGTGTCATTATGGTGCCACAGATATTCGCAACATTTGCTTTTTAATTGACAGTCGCACAAGTACGAACGCTGCAAACTTGTGCAGTATTGGTGGGCGCTGCGGAAGGTGTAGGCCGTTTTGGGTATCTTTAGTGCCGTTTGGGGTATCGTTAGGCCGACAAACAGACAAGTGTACAGACAGACTGGCAGAAAGGCAGACAGACCAAAATTTTGGCATCGAATGTCCCCAAGAAAGACTATGGTTTTGAAAAAACTCCGGCGCGCGGAATTCAACGTGCGACATCCGCGTTGTGAATGCGAGGCGTTTTTTATATCTACCACTTACAGCTCTTGGCGGGCATCTCGGTGGGGGGGGGGGGTAGGAACTATCGTGTTTTTAGCTATATCAGCAAGATGGCCCAATGAGCGGACGGCGGCTGTCATATCTCACGTGTACTTTGTCCCGCGGAAAGGAGGGAAGTGCACAATATTTCGAGCACCCTTATTCCTGGTGTAGAGGATCATAAATCTTGGCTGGCGTTGGGCTCGACTGGAGCCATTCTGTTGTAGTTATGGGGCGCACAGAGATGACTGCCATCGTTGCACAGCCTTCGTTTGCGAAAAGGGCGCGCTTTTCAGACACGGTGAAGTAACAACTGAGACGTTTATTCGAATTCAGCTGTGTACCTGTGAGCCAGTTGTGGGCGTCAGTTGTGAGTAAGAATTTCAATCTGCTTGCCACTCTGCGCGTGACCTTACAATTTGTTGCTATTGCGTTCATTGTTTCGCCTTTGCGGGAAAACTGTGACATTAGCAGGCCCGACTCTTTCCACATGCCACTTTGCGCCTCCTTCAGCATTGTGATTACCAGAATTGTTGATTTTGGGCAAATAGTACCTTCAACTAATCTATTTATTTTTATTCGGATATTTCACTATTGTTTTTAGCCTTCAAATGACTTTTATCTGATACTTTATAATCGTAGTCACAGCATACACACCTAGGTTTTGACTACAGGCAAGCTGTTCTCTCGGTATACATTTCATGGACATGTCCGGTTCAGCCTCTACTGATTGCCTGGAGCTGGCGAGCATCGCACCGGCTGTTTCTGGTCTTTTTTTCGCAACGTCATTTCGACGCCACGGAGCTTTCATAGCACCCGGTTCAAATGAAAAAATGGAATGCGTTTCGCCATGAAAAATTCTGCACCCGCAGATTCACTTTTGGACGCACATCTCTGAGGCCGTTCACAAACTCTAATCGTGTTAGCTTTTGAATCAGGTTTACCGCGTTCACCCTCTTGACGCCCCTGAAAGGTGGACGCCCTCCCTGCACCACTCTTAAAACATCTGACCGTGCTCATACGCACGTTCAGACTTGTCAAATTTGTTTAGGAGTCCTCTTATATGCACATTTTGTCCACTTAGTTTCTTTTCACGCTGTAAACGTGCGGGCGGGTTTGGTGCACTGATGTGGTGAAGAGTGCCATGACGTCTGTAATCACCTTTTTTTGCGTAACTCAACGCACTCTGCCGAAGAAGACATGTCCACGAATTAGACACTGCGAGACTCACACCCCGATAATAGTACCGCGTCGCACGCACGGACGCCAAAAGTAGGGACAAGCCTGGACCCTTAATTGCTTCGCCCCTAAACGTTCAGTTTGAAAGCGCTGACTTCATCTAAGATACAATCCCTTGACATCTGGTGGACGTGCGGCTTCTCGGTGTTCCGGTTGGCAGTGAAAAGCTGCGAGTCAAGCCCACAACGTGAGAAGGGCGCTGAAGTCTTTCTGTAGTAACGGGCTAGCCGCAGGCTGCACAGTTTCCGACCTGAGTTGGGACTCCTACCTGGCTATAAAGATTCGAGTCGACAAATACAACAGGCTGATTTACCACTGCAGTGTCCCTCGCGGTGATCGTAATGCAGCCACTCCGAGAGCCACCCACGTTTCATGGATTGCCAAGCAAATACCCCGAAACCTAGCTTGAGACGCTTGACAGGGTCTGTACATTCACCAGTCGGAACGTTTACGACAAGCTGCCTTACGTGTAATTTTACTTGGACGACACAGCAAGGAACTGGTACGAGAATCGACAGTTCACTCTTTGAACCAGAGATATTTTTCGCAAAGTTTTCTTGCAGATGTTCGCTTGTGTTGTTCGAAAGGCTTTGATCTTACTGGAGACACGGGTGCAACTCTCGAACGAGAGCGTGAGCATTTTCGCGGATGACTTGACCCGACTCTGCCACCACGCTGACATCCCCATGCCCGAGGAGAGGAAAGTAGGTTCCTGTATGCGAGGAGTAGAGCAATAGCTTTCCACTGGCCTAATGTGGAACCCGTCTTCGCAAATCAAAAGTCTGTCTCACAATCAACGACAAATGTGAAAACAATGGTAATGTGAACCCACTAGTACAACTCCCGATCACTTCAAGACAGCTTAGCTAT